CGGATTTGTGTTATCACTTGGATTTGTTCATATCTTACTTCGTTGATTGAACGGTCGCGAAACGAAGAAATCGTGGAGTCCACCGGACGTAACAATATTAAGCTAAAACAAAACTATGAGACTGTTATCATTAAGTAAAGAAATGCCTTCTCCAGCAGAACTGCTATATAATAGAAAGTTAAAAGGCCAATTTATACCCATGGTTTCGTATTATTAATAAGCTTAAGGACGAATTAGATAGAATGTGTAATGATGGTGTTGCAGAGCGAGTAACGGAACCCACGGAATATGTTAATCCTATTGTAGTTTAAATTACGTCAAAAGAAACAGAAAATCTATTATGATAAAGGCGCGAAAGATTTGACGGAACTTATAACAAATCAAACTGTAATGCTATTAAATAATAAGAAAGAATGGGAACCAGGCGTTATATATAACGTAGATAAGGATAAGCCGAGAGCGTATAATGTCAAACTTAATAATAGTGGAGTGATCTTAAACAGAAATCGGCGATTTCTCAAACCTTACGTAGCCAATAAAAATGTAAAAATAGAAAAAAATCAATATGAAGAGTTACTAGAAGATTACATAAACAAAGCAACAGAAACGTGTGTTGAAAGAAATGCCAACACAGAAAGGGAGGAAAATAGAGAGTCAATTAACGAAAATCCAAGGGTTGAGAAGTCATGATTGTCTGAGAACCAGGAGATGGAACTTGTTAGGGTAAATGACAGTTCTAAAATTAGAAACCCACGAACAGAGAATACCAAACCAATTAATGTAGATTGCGATCAGAGAGTTACGACTAGAAGTGGTAGAGTCAGTAAGAAACCACAGTACTTAAAGGACTATGTTAAAAAAAAAAAAAAGAGAGAGAGCAAGGCACACTTATAAAACATAAAATGTATAAGAGAGGATCGAAATAGGTTAGTCTGCGAAATGTTGCGAATGCTATTGTAACAAAATGTTAAATGTTTGTTCTTTTTATTTTATTTGTATTTTATTTTATGTTTAATTACATTCTATGTCAAGCTGTAATGTTTAAATAAATGAAGGGGATGTTAAGGGGTTGGCATAAATGCCAAACCAGTCTAGGGTCTAGTGGTGAGGTTGGCAGTAATGTAACGATGACGACGACGACTGAGACAAAGACTTTCAGACGACGGATATATTTTTGTACGACTTAATTAAAGAAATCTATAATTAATAACGTGTTGATTATTCACAAACTCAACAATAACAGTTTTTGCGGTGAGGGTGGCTGCTTTTATATTGTTACGAACAATGGGAAGTGACTCATAAGCGTTATTGTCTTGGAGGGATCGTCTTCATGACCTTATATGGCAATGTTAAAATCGGATGACCGGTCGAATAGTGGGGGAGGCGCAAGCTTCACTCCTTATTTGGTAATGTTCGCAAGCTGATACAGTAGGTCATTTCTATTTATAGACATAATTAGTGTGGCGTGATTTTCTAGGTCAGCTGTGGTAAATAATGGTTTCGTATGTAGCTAACTTATTCTACTATCGCCGCTTCATATGAGAATGATATTTATATGAAAATTGAAAAGAATATAATTATCGTCATTGAGGTTAATAATTTAGTGTTTTACAGAAATTAGAGGTGCTTTACATCTGAGTGGCTGCTGCCTGATCCGTTGTACATAATGATTGATAAAGAGTAGCACGTCTAATGGTCGAATAAATATCTTTCTCGTTGCTTACAATATTATAGCGTATTGCGGTGGATCGATATTACATTGTAGTGATGGGATTTCGATTTACTTTAGGTTCAGAATTTTAAAGGAATAAAAGAATATTATAACATTTATGTCTTGGGATTTGTGTAATTATCGTATTGAATTCGTCGCAGGGTTGAAAGCGGTAGGATTATGGTTGAGTAAGAATGAGAATAGGAATCTAAGTTTAAATGTTTTATTCTGTTTGTGAATTTGATAGAGATTGATTTATGTTTCATAAAAATGGTATCTTACGGGGATGCAACATGGGTCGTTGGGGGATTAAAGATTTCGGATACGAGTATTAAGACATGTGGGTTAGGCTTAAGGTATGCAAAAGGTGGTTTATAAATTGTAAGGAAAGTCTGTTAAATAGGTAGTTAGAAGATGGTCACGAAATGGAGGATTGATTTCTCGGATCTGATTGGTTGATATTCTTTTAGGTAGTCGCGACAGTAAGAGAAATATTGAGTTGTGATTGGTAAAAATGTTCACATTCCGTTAGGTCTAGAGGAGTTGCGAAGATTGGTCAGGTTTGTATGCGTAATGGCCAATGAGGTTGCAACTTGAAGATTCGGTTATACGTGAGCATATGCTAATGAGTTCAAGTACGCGCCAAGAAAAAGATGGTTTTAAATACGCACGATACGCACTTAAGTAAAGGTTAAAGGTCGCGTAG